CTACTGGAAGTTTAAGTAAACTGGGCGCATACTAAAAAGGATTTTTGCGAGAATGTTAGTAAATTAATGAGTGTTCACCTTTACCCTGCCATTTGCATCCTTTTCGATGAAGAGATGGTGGGAGCAAGGGCGAAACAGTGTAGCACATATTAATGGACCAAGATATGACCAGCACCTGTACATTGTAGGAACTTAACAGAACGAAGAAAAATTTATGAAAGTTAGTTGAAAAGACAATAATTATTAATATAAACGATCTGCGAACCTTGGATAGCGACTCAATACTCCCAATTCTGTGGGAAATCTGTCGATGTTGAAGTCGCGGGTGTATTTATAGGTTATAGGTATTCCAAAACATTTGTCGCCAGGACCTGGCCGTTGGCCTAAGAAAGAGGATTTTCAAGCAATGTCATAAAATTATCCACTGTATAGGAAAAACTACATTTGTCGGTTTTCTGGCGAAATTCCAGTCGACAGTGCTTGTTGCAGGGCCACTCCTTGTCGCGACAATCACCATAATGTTGAAGAATTTCATGGATTTGCTAAAAGTACTGCATGAAACTTGTCAAGGAAAAGGCCAGACGGTGATGCTCGAAAAGACTCTAACTAACCAAATGTGAAGTATCGTCGCCCTCATCGATGGAATGGTTACTTAACATCTCATGTAAGTCTTCGGAGACGTCATCGTAGTAATCCCGGAACTCAGCACCTATTTCTGAATAGTCGTTCTTAAAACATGAAAGTTCACCATAACAATGTGAACTTACCTTGAAATAAGGCTAGCACCATCAATAAAGAAGACGGTCCCATTTAACCTCATATGAGTGTGAACAGTTAATGAAGAATTTCTGTAAATGAACAAAGGTATGTGATTTATCTCGCAACAAATCAGTTGGTTTGCATACTAAGGGCACCGCTTTGGTTGAAGAGGCTATTGCAACATTAAAAAATCGCTTTTTCAAGAAAAAAATAAACAAATTCAAATGTGGACGCAACAGCACGATCAGTCCAGTTGTTTCAGAGCGGGGCAGCAGCAAGATAGCCGCGACCTTTGCACGCGTTAGGGCCTACGGTCACGTATTTATTCTGTGAAAGTGCCTAATGGGTGTTTACGGATTTACTATATGGACGATTTGGTAAGGGGAATCATGTTGTAGTAAGTTTTTTTTTCTGTCTGCGTGTCGATCTATTTATGCGACAAACATCGTTTACCCACGAATTAAGTACACACTAAAATACATACGACGTCATTT